ATTTGCTGCAACAAACTGCCGTTCTCAAATCCCACAAACAGCCGTTCTCAAATCTCCATCATCTTTTCTCTTCTTTTCTGGAACCGAAACTCACTCGGCTCGATGGCGGCAGCGGTGAAGATGACGAAGTCGGCGCTACATCTCAACTACGACAAGGAAGACCCCTTTCTCTTCTTTCTCGAATTGGGAATCCGACGGATGTGGGGCAAGGAGAGGACGAAGCCGGCTCCAGATCTCGACAACGACAAGGCAACGCCGCCGAATTTAGGACGGACGGCGGCCTTCCGGTCTCCCCCCCTTCCGTTCTGAGGGATGAGCAGATCTGCTGGTATTTTTTTTTTATTCTTTCGATTTTTGGAAGCATCCTGGAATCCTTGTCCGAAGACCACCTCCACCACCGCTGTAATGGAATAGATTGACCTCGAGGAGCAGGTATTGTTTGGGAGGCTGGTTTGTTGAAATTATGTTCGTGTTACTTAAAAAGATATAGTTGTTTTCGTTACGGTTGTAGTTGGTTTCAATAATAGTCGTTTTTGTTGGAATTTTGATGTGTTTTTTTGCTTTTGCTTTTGCTTTTGCTATTGTGGATTTCAATAATTTGTAGTTGATTCAATATAGTTGTTTTCGTATAACAATATAGTTGTTTTTGCGCAACAATATTATTGTTTTCATTACTTTTTAGTTTGTTTGAATAAATAGTTCATTTAACAAATAGTTGTTTTGGAGATGTTTTAATTAAATAATTAGTTAATCTTACAATGAAAATAATATAATATATAATTAATTTAATAAATTGTGAAACTGATGTATCATTGTTTTAATACCAATTGTTTTAATAATAGTCGTTTTATAATAGTCGTTTTAATAATAGTCGTTTTATTGGCATATAGTTGCTTTAACTGAAAACTAAAATAATATAGAAAAAGAATATTTAAAGAAAAATATTAAAAAAATATAAAAAAAAGTTTTTTTAAAAAAAATATTATTTTTTAAAGAAGAAATAAATAAAAAAATGAAAATTAAAATTAAAATATAAAAAATAAAAAAATATATCAAACTAGTGGATAATGAGTAGTGAATAGTGGGAGGGTAAATTTGAGAATACAAAAAGAATGGGTTTCTCACTAATAAAGGAAAATGAGCTGGACCCATCCTTATTAAAATAATGTTAGAGGGAGTTCTCACTAATAGTCCCTATTTTTTAATCGCTTACTTATTATTTCCACTTTTAACAAGCTCACCCTATTTTTTGCTATATTTAGTTTGCTTACATTTTATATATTTTCATTATTTATTCTCCAAATTTGGCAATCTGCCACCCCTATTCAACCATTCATGACCATATTCGACAATCCGCCATCCTTATTAGACCATCTATGACTATATCTGGCCAACCACAACTAAGTCCGTGAGGGATTCGCTCAAATTCAAACCACAATTAAACGGTGGTTTGAGTTGTTTTGTTCGAAAATTAGGTTCCTTGGCAGGTTCGTCGGTTCCTTTTACCTAGTCGAACCGGATTTTAGCCATCCGACTCTGATTTTCAAATGTTCCGATTCTAGAAGTCATATCGAACTGCATCATCGCCGGATCACGGTCCAACCGGTCCGGTCCAGTTCTAACAATATTGGCTATTACTGACCGATCCTTAACTCAAGGATAATTTATCTTATATATAAAAGAAAGAAACGTTAGGGCAACCTAAGAAACCCTAATGGCGTATTCGTAAAAAATAAATTTTTTTTTATATATATATATATATATATATATATATATATATATATATATATATATATATATATATATATATATATATATATATTCTATTTTGCAGTTACTTTTTTTTCTAATTACTTCACACCAAATCTCGACTAGTACAGTCCTGATCCACAACACTATATTTTTTAAGGGATAATTTGACAAACACCCCTCATTAGACTCCTCCAATTACAATGGGTCCAAATTTTTTTCTCATTTTTAAGTTAAATCCAAAACACATTTAATTAATAAAAAATAATATAGTTTCACAATTATACCCTTCTTTTTATTTGACTTTTATTTAATATTAATTTATAATAATTGTATTATAATTCACGATCCAAGTCATTAATCCATCGCCTATTACTTTTTTCTTATTTCGATTTCTCCCAAACCTCTCCTTTATGACCGCCGTCGTCCCCCTTTCTTCACCCTCCATCGCCGCCTCCTCCTCTCCTCTCTCCACCGCTCACAGCGGGATCTTGGTGGTAAAAAAAATCAAGCGCCAGATATTCTTGAATTCTTCCCCTTTTCTATTCACCGCCGCCGCTAAAATCTAAGGGGTTTTCGGTTGAACCTTGCCTTTTTCTCATCTTGCCTTTTCTTTAATGTTGCTGCCCTACTCTCAATCTTTTTCATCGCCGCCGGAGGACCCGTGAGGCGGATATAACAGCAGCCTGCGGTGGCTCCAGTGATGAGCCCGAACAATCGGGAGAACGAAGATTGGTTCACCGCATATTACCTAAATGTATGATTTTGTCCTCTTAATTATGAGGTAAGAAATTGTTCTCATCGATGTGCCAATTTTTTACTGGCTAACTTTGTGAATCGTGCAAATCTGTAAATGACATATGCAAATTAAGTTTTATTTATATTTGATCGTTTATTTCATCTCCTCTCTTTTTTCCTCCTTTGCATCGCCTTTGTAGAAGATGCTGGTTTAATTTTGAATTCTTTCTTTCTTTCTTTTTTTTTATAATTTTTTTTTGTATATTTTTATTAGCTAAAATGAGTTTTTGTCCATTTTTTGTTTTCTTGCGACGTGCAATGGATAATTTCATCAATTAATTGAATGAGTGGAATTGATTCATTTTTGTACTGAATTTCGATAAGTTATAGTGGATTTAATTTTGGTTGATCTTGTGCACTTATGAATTGCATTTGTTTTTCTAGTGGATTTCGATAAGTCATAGTGGTTTTCTATAAATTACAGTGGATTTTAAGTTTTTGCCATTGAAAAAGGAAAATTTTGAATAAATTTGATTGATTCGTTGTCTTTCATTTCACGAGCAGGGAAATCATGGCTGCAAAAGTGGATTAGCTTAATTCTGTAGTGGTTTACATCAATTTTCTAGTGTTTTTAATAATTCTGTATAGTGGATTAGGTTAATTCCGTACTGGTCTACATTATATAGTTGTGTATACACAATGATTTTCATGTTGATATAGTTGTTTATACATAGTGGTTTTCACGCTTATATAGTTTGTGTATACATAGTGGTTTTCATGTTTATATAGTTGTTTTTATACAGAGTGGTTTTCATGTTTATATAGCTGTTTATACAGAGTGGTTTTCATGTTTATATAGAGTGGTTTTTATTTCAAAAAACTGGAAAGAAAAAAAAAACACTTGTTAATTGATAGGTTTTTAGTGAATTTTTGTAATGAAATTTGTTAATTACATAGTGGTTTTCACTAATTACATAGTGGATTATGTTAATATTAATGTGGATTATGCTTATTTTATAGTAATTTTTATTTTAATTTCGTAGTGGTTTTCGATAAATTTAGTGGTTTTCGATGTGTATGTAGTAAATTTTAATTTTTTTTAAATATGAACCATTTAGAAAAGTAAAATAAAAAAAAAACTTACGTTTTAAATTAATATAAAAAAAAAATTTAAAAAAAAAAGACTGCATATTATAAGGATATGTTTTCTACCGTGATTTGGAGGAAGAGGGGTGAATTATACGGTAATGTGATTTGGGATTGATTTGGAATTGATTTATTTTTGGGAGGGGTTTGGAATTAATTTACCGTAATATTTAATTTAATAATTATACTAATAAGTAAGGGCATATATGGGTTTTCAAGTACAATGGATTTATCTCAAATACCATTAATTAATTAAGGATTTATCAAGAAAAAAAAATCCAATGGAGGGTGTTTGGCATATTCCCCCATTTTTTAATTGTTATTATTATTTTATCTCCTATTTTCAGTTTATTTTCTCTAATTCTTCTTTGCTTCATTTATTTAATGATCAATTTCATTTTATGACAATTAAGTTTATATATTTATTTCGGAATGAGTTTGTATTATTAAATTTGTATAAAAATATTAATATTATACCGAAATCACTAATAAATATTATTATAATTCCTATCGTAACGTATTAAACTAATCATTATTTTTACTTTTGAAATGATATCCCGTGCATCGCATGGGGAAAAAATGCTAGTAAATACAATAGAACGAACATCAGTAATTTAATACTCGATCATTTAAATTTATTAACAAAATGAAGAAAAAGTAAGAGGAACGACCTAAAAATTTCGGTAAAAGTAAAACTCAACCCGGTAATTATCTAATTATTTATTTATTTTTGTTATATATAAAAAATATATATTTAGCTACCTTAATATTAGGGCCTTAAAATGATACAATGTTTATGCCCGAACACCCTAGGGCCCTAGGCCCAATTTATGTTCAATAAATCATTTCTTCAATTTCTTTTAATTTATTTATTTTTAATTAATTTACTTTTTTGGATAAAAAATCATTTCATTAGTAGCCGCACTGTTTTAATGTTTTCCTACAATTTAAAAAAAGTAGTAATTAGTGAAATCAACGTAAAGTATTCATTTTAGGAAAATGATTTTAAATAAGGTAAATTAATAAATAAAAAAATAAAAGAAATTGGATACAACAAAGCACAACCTGACTCAACATTAAAACAGTCAAATATAAATCCCACCATCCATAATGGATTATTAGATTGCGACAACCTAAAACATTTTGACTCGGAAAAAAAAAAAAAAATCAGATTTTGCACAATACACACAGTAACTGTAAAATTTCACACACACACACACACACACACGAACAGTGTGACTGTGATGTATTTTGAAGTCGTAAATAAGTCCAAATTAGACACGTAAATATAGGAAAAAGAAACGGGCTTTAAGGATTGAGCTCCACCTCCACCCCCCGCCCCCTCACCCCCCACACACCCCCGCCCCCCCGCCCCCCATTGTGCTTTGTCTCGTGGGAGTAAATGTAGAGTTGTATTCACAGAATTCCAATAATTGATTACTCGAGCATGGTTTGATTACATTTCAAATACCCATTTCTGGGGTTTCCATTTTCTTCTTGCTTAATTTGTTTCTCTCTGCCGCTCCATTCTTCTTTTTCTTTCTCCAAGGTGCAAAGCTTCAATTTTTTTATTTTTTACTGTTCAAGAAATCAAGAAACCGAACAGAAACCCGATCTTGCCTCTGATTTTCGGTTTTTCATTTTGTGGGTTGTGCTTTTTATTGGATGAAATAGTTGAAAGAATGTTCGTTTGAGTGATTTTTAATTTTTTTTTTTTTTTTTTTTTTTTTGTAAAAATAAAAATTCTGTCTGTAGTTTTTGTTTCTAATTTTCGGTAATTGTTTGTTCATATCAGAATTTTGGTCTAAATTAGTTGTTAAAAATCAATTTTCAGATGTAAAATAAAAAACATAAAAAAATCGATTAGTCGAAAAAGTTGTACCGTTTATAGGTTCACCAAATGTGGAATCAATTCCTACATATGGGGAGAGCCTATGATTTGCACTCTTTGCCTGTGTTAATTTTACTTCCTAAGTTAGCAGATTCGACTTCGATGTAACTGTTCTCGTTTTACCCCTATTAGATATGCGTATATGCGTCGACGAAACTTTCGACAGTGTGGTTTTTGAGTCGTCGACATGTAGTTTTCTTCTGTTTGAAGAAATCGGTTATGTTAACGAATATTTCTACAATGCATGTGTGTGTATATATAGATATATCTATAAGAGTGAGAATAAAATTTGATCTTCTTGTCAGAATTAGAAACATGTTTGTATAGTTGTGTGCATGTACCGTTTGTTCGGTAACTTTTAGGATGTAGCTAGACTAAGTTAAAGCAAAAATCTATCAACTAGTAGTTTTTGTCTACTTATAAGTGTGGATTTAGATCAATTAGCTCGTCTTCGATACTTGGATTTATTGAACGTGTCGCTCTCGTTGATTGTGGGGCCTACTTTGTCTTGGGCTATTAGGTTATGCGTCCTAAAACAGAAACATTTATAAACAAGTTCGGTTCGTTTCGATGCACCGCGTATCTTTGAAATAGAATTTAGCTGCCCCTATTTAATGGTTTATTTTGGTTCGATTAACTTTATTCAATTGTCCAATCGGAGCTTCGATGCTTTTCTTTTGTGTTTTTTTTTTCATGCATTGTCTAGTCGTAAAAGTTATGCACGTCCATAATGTAATTGAGTCGAGGAGCCGAATTAGGTTTAAAATATTTATTTTGGTGATTCCCGTAAAATGACTACCTTCTTTGCCACGTGTAAAAACTCCTATTTGACGAGCTATTGTGCAGGTCCGATTTATCCCAGCTATTTCTAGATTGTCCTTTTATAGTCGTTTATCGTAAAGAAAATCAAAATATACGTATGAAGATCTTATGCTGACCTATAACCCTTTTCATGCAACTTATATTTCCTTTATATAGCACAAAATAACGGTCTATTAAACGAGTATCGCACGTGTCTGAAACGAGTGCAAAAACTAGAGTATGACAATTATGTACTTGCAGTTATAGGTATTTACGATAATGGCCGATACGTTATCTATGGGGAACAAATAATGCTTTGAATATTAGAGAATTAGCTACGTGAATTTATTTAAAATTTCGGTTTATTTTTGTTTCACAATTTTCGTTGTTACGGTTATGGATTTTTGAATAATGAGCCCCCCTAAAATGACTTTTATCTCAATTTTTTTTTCCGTATTTTTACAGAAACGTTCGCCGTTTAAGGAAGAATCATGAAGCCTGGACGTAGCTCGCACGAGGGTGTGATGAAGCCCCGCAACGTGGATTACGAAATTGCCCCTGAAAGCGTTGAATTAAGAAGGTCTTCGACTCTTAATGGTGAAAAACGTGCAGTCGCATCACATACTGCCGTGCATGAACTGCTCGAATGCCCTGTTTGTATGGACGTAATGTACCCTCCAATTAACCAGGTATATTCTTTATTATTTATTTATCGTCTGCTTGTATATTTGCTATTAAACGAGGTTATTAATTTATCGATGTTCTACTGTACTTTTTCGTTGGAATTATTTTGCTAATAGAAAAGTAACCACTTTTCGTGTGATCCATTTGTTTTAATAATTATTTTCCTATCTTAGTGTCCAAACGGCCACACTTTATGCTCCAAGTGCCAGTCGAAATTACGTAGCTGCCCGATTTGCCGTCAAGCGCTCGGAAACATAAGGTGCTTGGCGCTCGAGCGAGTTGCTGAGTCACTTGAAATGCCGTGCAAGTATCAGATTATGGGCTGTCAAGATATATTCCCCTATCACAGCAGACTGAGGCACGAGAGGAATTGTCTATTTCGCCCTTACAATTGCCCTTACGCTGGAGCTGAATGCCCCGTCACTGGAGAAATCCCGTTTCTTTTGGCGCATCTCAAGAGTCACCACAAAGTTGATGTACATGATGGCTCTACTTTTAACCACCGATATGTGAAGACTAATCCGCAAGATGTTGATAATGCCACCTGGATGCTGACTGTAAGTTTTTTTTTTTAAGTCCTCGTTTATAATTTTTAGAGTTATTTTCATTCGGCACCCCCGTATTTTATCTAATTGTGAAGGAATTCCTATGTTGTTTTTTATAGAGTTTATTGCATTTGGTACCCCTGTGTTATATCAAATTGCTAAAAAAACTCCCCTTGTTACAAATATTAGCAAAACCCCTCTTATAATGAATTTTTTTAGCACTCAACCCCCTAAAATAGTGACTTTTTTGGGGCGTAGTTTGCTAAAAAAAATTGAATGATAGGGGTTTTTTTTGCTAATAATATAACATGGCGGATTTTTTAACAATTAGAAAAAATATAGGGGTGCGGAATGCAATAGACCCTATTTTTATTAGCACTGATTGAAAATCAAAAGGCAATATTATCACTCTTTGGAGGATCGTGAGCGGAAAAAGATGTACCGTAGGGGGGTTCATGCTAATTAAAATATTAGAAGGTTCTTTTTGTAACAAGGCGCAATGGTTTTCTTTTTTTGCAATTCACTCCTTATTAACGTTGAACACCAGTTCGAAAAGTGGAATTTCTTGGTGTAATGTCACTCAGCCACTTACATACTTGTGCATATTCATTTTGGCCTTTGAGTCCCTACTTAGTTATATAACAGTTTTTTTTTTTTTTTTTTTAGTTTTTAATTTATATATATATATATATTAAATCAAGTAAAAAAAAAGTAATTTAAATTTGTGTTTTCAGGTATTCAATTGTTACGGTTACCAGTTCTGCTTGCACTTCGAGGCATTCAACATAGGTTCCGCGCCGGTCTACATGGCGTTCATCCGTTTCATGGGGGACGACCGTGATTCTAGAAAGTTCCGTTACAGCCTGGAAGTCGGTGGAAGCGGGAGAAAGCTGACGTGGCAAGGAATTCCCAGGAGCATTCGAGACACTCATGTAAAAGTCCGCGAGAGTATGGATGGGCTGATCATACAGAGGAGCATGGCTCTGTTTTTCTCCGGAGGCAACGGGCAAGAACTTAGGCTGAGAATCGGAGGGCGTATTTGGAAAGAACAAGCGTAAAACGAAGAAGAACATAAGCCAAAAAACGAGAAAAAAAAAAAAACAAAACTATTTTGTTATAATTGAAGGATCGAAATTGATGATATACATACATGTGAATAGAACATTTCTCATGGGTTTGGTTTTTAAGGCTCTCTGCTCTTTTGTTTTTACTGTAAAGAAAAATTGAACTACAGAATTTGATGCTCCATTGACTGATTAATTAACCTTAATAGTTGTCTGAAGAATTACTTTGGGACAAAATGGTACTTTTGGTGAAGCTATAGTGAAAAGGATAAAGTGTTTTCTGATGGAATATTTTTTTTTTATTTTATCTTTCTGGGTTGGATTTTTGGATTTTTTGATGTAAGAAGATATATTTTAGGGTAGGTAGCACTGATCCCATCTGGTTTGAACTTTTTACGGATGACCCTTTTGTACTTTTGATATAGCATACGATCCATTTTATTTTAATATAAGTACACAATCGCCCTCTACTCTTCCAAAAAAATTCTTCTCAACGAGTATGATTATTTACCAAGTAAAATATTATAGGGGATTATGTCCTTATATTGAAAGTGAGGGTCATGCGCACAAAGTTCAAATTACAGAGAGATCATCTGCTTATATTGAAAGTACAAGGAGGTCATGTGCACAAAACTCAAACCACAGGGACTTAAATGTTATTTACCCTATATTATCTTATTTGACCTCATTGTGCTTAAATGTTATTTATCCTATATTGAAAGTACAAGGAGGTCATGTGCTTTATTGTTCTTATTTTACCTCATTGTGGGCAAAGTTGCTCGGACATTTCCATCTGTTATCTTTGGTCTACCTTGAAACATACGAATACTCCACCAGACACATCGGCTACTATGATGCCGCGCCACCATAGCCACTTGGAAATTTTTTTTTTTCGTGGGAAAAACCTGCATCAAAATTGATTTTGATGATTTCAGCCGGCGGCAGCAACCACTTGTAGATGTAACAGTACGAGCCTCACATGTAGAGGCCCTACAATATTTGTCAAGAAAATTCGTACTCCATCTAACAATATCATTCTTCCCACATTTTATATCCTCTAATAATTTCGACATTACGAAGATACCATATTCTCCAACATAATTCAAAAGCCTCTCGACGTAGGTTTACATGAAGATAGCACAACCATGCACTAAAATTGGGAAATTAATGCTCGGATCTTGCAAACAGAATAGGAGATCTCTCCAGATTTTTCTCAGACAACATTGCATAATGTGAAGAGTGGACTCATAATCAACCCCGCATCGGTTGCACAAAGGGTTTGGAGCATTTTTTCTTCGAAACAATTCTATGTTCGTCGGTAGAATATCAGAGCAGGCTCGCCAGAGAAAAACTCGAACTTTTGGGGGCACTTTTGTATTCCAAATAAATTTCCATTTTTTGTGGTGAAAACCACTACCATTTGCTTCTGAATTTCGACCCATGTCGTCGCTTGTAGTAATGATGTTGCGATAGCATGATTGCATACTAAAATTCCCATTTTTGGAATAATGCCTTGCGTATGTTATCCTCAGCTTCCAAAACATCCCAGAGGAATTTCCATAATTCATTCTCTATCAACCTCCCGCATCAAATTATCGATAAGTTGTGCATTCCAAGCATTGTTCTTAGTATCCATAAGGTCGAAAACCTTATCGGGAAAAGTAGCTTGTCTCGGTCGCTTTGTGATAATATGGAATGCACCATCACTTCGAAGCCAAGGTTCTCCCCATATTGCAGTATTTTCCCATTACCAATCCCTTTCCGTACTTTCGCAAGCGAATGAGGTTTCACACTTATGATACTTCTCCATGTAGCCAAAGGTCGATTTCCGAGAGTTGCTTTCATAAAATCCATAGTTGGCAAGTACCTTGCTTTGAATATTTTTTAGCACAGCGAATCCGGTCGAGTTAGCAAACACCATCCTTGCTTTGCAAGCAAGGTTAAGTTGAAACTGTGAAGATCCCTTAAACCAATCCCCCCCTAATTTTTTTTCCAAGACATCCACGCGAGTTTTCTTTTCAAACCATCTACGCCCCACCAAAATCTCCTAATAGCAGATTCAATATCTCGGTAAGTTAAATGGTTATGAGCCGGGTAATGGGTTTAAGTTACTAGAACTGGATGGTTCTATGTTGGGTTACGGATCTTATTGGAATCATAAAAGTAAACTGAATTGAAAGAATTGAGAATAAAGTGGATTACGGGTCTTATTTTGTTGAATTTCGAGTATGAATTGCCACCTTCTCGGTAGACATATTTTTTTATTAAAAACAAACACCCTTATAGATGACCAATACAAGCACGTGCCAAAAAAGATTCGACATTTTCCCCGACCAAGTACGTAAAATTCAACAATGATCTACAAAACACACGCTTACACATAAATTATTTCGAAATCGAGATTTGAACGAAACCTTTTATATATTATGAAAACAAAGATGATTTCAGCTCATATATATACAACTTTGAGTAAAAATGTTAAAGAGAGAGAGAGAAGAGTATTTTGTACAGTTAAGGTCAAGGCTCAGTGTTGGGCAGCCTGCTGAGAACAGAGTGCTCTGGTTTGTGTTCACATTCATAATCAATATGAACAAATGCCCTTTCGACTTCTGTTAGTTTTTCGATCTTTATTTGCAGAGTCTCTCCAATTGTGTGAGCTTCTTTTAAGTGCATTTCTTCCGGCAGTTCAATATCAACCTAATACCACACAAATAAGCTTTTTACTCGATGAAATGGGAGATTAAAAAAGACAAGCAAAATCATCGAATCCATATAATTTTTCCGAGATGTGAATGAAAACGAACCTCAACAAAATATAGTACACCAAAAGTGTAGGCACGGACTGTGTCGATACGCTTGATTTGAGGGTGCCTTATAACGAGATATGTCAATTTACGCAATATTTCAGGCGGTGCTGATTGTCCCACTAGCGATGCTGGATCACAAGAAACGAGCTTAAGTATGAAACAACAATTTAAAAAAAAGGGGGCAAATTACGGCTACCCCCTGAGGTATGGCCAAATTACGAAAAAACCCTCTTGTTTGTATAATTACAGCCACCCATCCTTTTAAATATTTTTACATAAAATTTATGTAATTCGGTTATTTACCAAACCAAATCATATATTCAGTTCGGTAAACGGTATGAAATGTTGGAGTACCGAAATTTCGGTTCAGTTTAACCGATTTAAGATCCCTAAATTTACCTCTGGAGGGGTATTTTCGTAAGATAATACATAGTTGAGGGGTGGATGTAATTACCCAAACAGGAGGGGAGTTTCGTAATTTGACCATAACTCAGGGGTGACCGTAATTTGCCCAAAAAAAAGATTTTGTGCATGTAGTAGGGAACACTTAATACTAGATAAGATTTTTTGTAATAAACGAAAAATGCGATGGAGGTAGATATAACACCTGCATTTTCAAGAACAGTTCGAGACCAATTCACAATCGTATAAATTGCAAGGACAAGGGCGCCAGCTGGATCAATCCACCAGAAGAATGCATCGCCTAGTACAGCTGCTACTAATCCTACTACGTTTGTTACCACGTCAAAATAATGGTCCTGTGTTTAATGCCAGAGGAGTTACGCAAATGCACGAGCTAATACGAAGTTCTATGATTATTATTAACAAAAAAAAAAAAAAAAAACTGAAAAGATACCTTAGCGTAGGCACGAACAATTTCGTTTTTCGAACTTCTGCAGTAGAACCACAGAGCAAGTTTCACCACAGAAGCAGTTAACATAATCGAGTACAGCCATACCAACTGATCTGAATTCATTTTTTCGGTATGTTGGTTTTCGACAAGTTGTTCTACGGCCTGGATCAACACCTGAAAGCCTGAACGAAGATCAAGGTTCAATTTATTTATTTATTTATTTATTTTTTTTTTTACGTTACTTACCGAGAGTAGCCATTATGGCAGCAAAGACGATAATTCCAACTGGCTGCACCCTCAATTTCCCGATTGGATATTTGTATATGTTGACATTTTTCATCGATAAATGTGTAAACCATAGTATAGCCCCAGCCATAAGATCGAGTAAAGAATCCAAAGTCGATGCAGCAATTGCTAGCGACCCACTCTTTATCGTGGCATACACCTAAAACCAGCAAAAAATAAATTATTTCTAAATTAGATAAATAAAATAACGGTCCATCGATGTACGAGAAAACTCAATACAAACTCTCGTTCATATAAAAACGAGATCTCACCTTCAATGCCAGCAGTAAAATATTAGCATAGTTGGAAATCATCATAGCTCTCTCTTGTTGCTTTTGCTCTTCGAGATCTTCCTCGTCTAATCCATCAGACGAAACCGCGGAATCGACCTCTTCGAATGATTTTAATGTAGCAAATTGCGTTTCGTAATAGTCCTTCTCTCCTATATATATATTTGGGGAAACAAAAAGCAATTAAACATACAGTAGAACCTCGATAAATTAATAACCTTACTTAAATAATTGTTTCTTCTGATCTCGGCTCGGTAAAAATCCACTAAATTATTAGTTCGATAATTTAATATTTTGCTAAAATAATAGAGTAGAATTTTACTGGTCGCGACTGTATTAATTTATGGAGATTTAACTGTAACTTTTCTCAAAAAAAAAAAAAAAAAAAACTGTAACTCAATTCCCAATCAAACAGCGTTATGAAGCTTTTCCCTTTTCTCTTTTAAGAATAAGAATCAAACTTTTACCCAAAAAAAATATTAAAAAATAAAAATAATAAGAATCAGACTAGAAGTATATACACACCTACATACAGATAGAGTCAGAAAAAAATAATATATGTATATACATATATATACCTGGGCTCAAACCCTGAGCTCTGGATAGATCAACTGGAGAAGAAGACTCAGGGTCAATTGCTGACCGGACGTTATCGGGAAGCCTGGAAATGAAATCGTTACGGAGTGAATTGAAGGAGTTCCGGCGACTGAGGCCACGGCCGCGCCGCCCACTGCCGCCGCGCTTCCACTGCTCCAATAGAGGTGATTTGCCATCATTGCCGTTATTAGGACTTGTTTTAGTTTCTGCTTCCATTGTGTACTTAAAAACTTCATTATTTAGCAGCTTTTATCTTTGTATGTATCCCATCAGAAAAATAATAATTAATTATTATAGTTTGTATACAATTTTTATAAATTAACCCAGTTGGTACCAGCTAAATTGCCCACAAGGAACCATCCCTCATTGGAGTTGAAATTCCCACACTGCGGCTGCCAGGATTCGATCCTAGGACCTTGCACCTCCGCAACCAGTTGAGCTACACCCATACGGGCACAAACTCTAAACAAATAGATAAAAATTGTTTATCCCGTTATTCTTGAGTAGGGATTGAAAGAAACTATTATTTAAACGAGTTTATTAATTTATTGAGTTAAAATTTTTTTCTAGGGAAACTTTTTGAATTGATTGTTTTATGTAATATCTATACTATATATACAATAAAAAAGTCAATGGAAAGTAAGCTTTTAATAAAGATTCATTAATAGAACTATCTATATTCCCACCCCAAAAATTAAATAAACTTGAGAAGTCAACTAATACATGTCCTTGCAGCCATAAGCATGCCTCTTTGATTCGTTCTTGACGAGTAAACTGCAAATACTACCCCTGTGTTATCTCGAAATAGCAAAAACCCCCCTGTGATAAAAAAACTAGCAAAAACCTCCCCTGTAAAATTATTTAAATAGCAAAAACCCCCCTATGGAACTATTTGAGGGTTGACTTGATATAAAAAGACACAAATACCCCGGAGTCTTGCAATTAATAAATTCTTATATTTTATAAATATTTTAATTATTTTATTTAAAAAATAATCAATTTAGTTGTTTACTATTTTCTTTTTAATTTCTAAACAAATAAATTAAAAAGAATAAATATACATATAATATGTATATATATAAATACATTTTGAGGGACAATTTTGTCATTTCAAGTCTAAAAAATCAGCTAGGGGGGATTTTGCCTTTGACTAAATTTCACAGGGGGGTTTTTGCTAGTTTATTTATCACAGGGGGGTTTTTGCTATTTCGAGATAACACAGGGGTAGTATTTGCAGTTTACTCCGTTCTTGACTTCTCTCTACACAAAATGCACCCAATTTAAGGGATTGAGGTCTGTACGTCTTCAATATCCCGCTTCACAATATATATATATATATATATATATATATATTCTTTAGTTGTATAGTTTTCGAGTAAATAGCACTTAATCCCTGTGGTTACAAGTTTTTGCAGATAACCCTCTCGTGCTGTCAACACATAACTCCCTTGTGGTTGGTGTGTGTAGTTTCCGTTAGTTTATCCATAAAACTTAAGCGCATGTATCAAAAGTTAAAGTAATTTCGTCGCAGATGACCCCCTTGTGATTACATTTTCTTTTTTCATTTTTGCAGATGACCCCTTGAAGTTTGACACACGCAGTTGAATTTGACGAAAAAACCTAACAAATGCTAAACCCATTAAATCACAAGGGAGTTATGCGCCAATATCACGATCACATGAGGATTATCTACAAAAACTTGTAACCAAATGGGTTAAAGCGCTATATTTCCTAATTTTTGACTTGGTGAATCACAGAAATCATATTATAATCTGGTGCCACAATACAGGCACAAAAAACAATTATAATGACACTGTCCAAAAGTCTCCAATAACATGTATAAGAATACAAGTTATATTTTGGGAAAATTGGCTGAAACCCCCTTAAGAATATTTTGTACAGTTAATAATTCGTTCCGATATTTTAAATTTACTATTGAACAGTTTAATTGGATAACTTAGATTAAAAATAGAAAACTTAGCTGGAGAGTTTGGGTAGAAAATACACAAAAGACTGGAAATTGACGGCTTAGTTGGAGAATTTGAACTGAAAATAGACATCTCAAATGAAATTAATTTTTTTCCAATGATGTTATATCAAAAATTAGGCGGTCGGCGACATAAGACTAGTAGAGAAAGGCGGAATAATGAAAGAAATGTCATTTTTTCAAAGTTGATGTAGTTTTGAAAACGGATAAATTAAAATATAATAAGGTATTTTCAGTCTAAAATAACTATTTTCTGTCAAAGCTTTTCAACTAAACTACTCGAGAGACTTCTAGCATAAAAAAATTATCTCAATAAATAAATCTCAACATTTCACCCCAATTCATCAAAATATCAAAACAACAATCTAATTTCATGACACCAAGACATACTTGTGTTTGTGTGTGTTTGTGTGTGTGTGAAATTTCCCATAAAACACCGAAAAGATCCTTAGCTAGTTTACTTCACTTGGAGCCCACTTGCCTTCTTTTCTAAAGGTACTAACACTTCTAAATCATGCTCGTTCGAGGCTTTTGTGGAGTCGTTTTTTGGCGTCTTCTTTAAATCTTTGGTGGGCTTCTTCTTATTTCTCGCTCGGTCGGCTTTCGAGACAATCTCAGAAACCGTAAAACCTGCAACTTCAAAATTGTTCGATTTTTGAGGGAGCAAAGCGTTTCGAGTAATTACATCAATGCCATCGTAAGTCCAAACTCCCAATAGAGCTTCTCCCTTGAGTCCAATGGCAAACCAACCAAGACCAGAGGCAGCAATATCCACAGAACTCGAGTCCCATAATTTGCCACTTACACGAAATTCCCTTTTCACCCATTCGCCGAGCTCCTTAACTCTCCCATCACCAATTGGAGGCTGACAAAATAAAATAAACAAATTAAAAGGCAATCAATTAATTCTGCAGTAAAAAAAAAAAGGTTGAAGCATTGAAATTTGAATTCCTTATAGAATGCAAGTCAAAATATGATAAATAATAGGGTAAACTACGGCCACCCCTAAGGTATGATCAAATTACGAAAAAACCCCTCTTGTTTGGGTAATTACAGGCACCCCCTCCTTTTAAATATTTTTACATGGAATTTATGTAATTCGGTTATTTACCGAACCAAATCGTATATTTAGTTCGGTAAACGGTATGAAATGTTGGCGTACCGAAATTTTGGTTAAATTCCCCAAAATTTACCTCAGGAGGTGTCTTTTCGTAAGATAATACATAGTTGAGGGGTGCCTGTAATTAC